ATATCGATATACTGAATATCGGAAGATATATTGATTGCGCAAACTACGTATATTTGGAATTAAATTGCAAAAAAGCATAAATTCAAATAATGAAGTTAATTTGGATAAGATGCACTTTATCGATTTTGAAAAAATAGCAACCAGAGTTCTTTGATTTACCCCTCCTCACAAGTAAGAGCTAATTTACACGATGACTTTTCGCCCTGGGTGGAAAGTCATGCGCGTCGAGCTTGTAGGCAAGAAGTGTAGCGAAGTCATCGGGGTAGGCAAGCACGCACGGTGAGCGAAATCGAGGGGTTCTTTTGACGTTCCGCTTTTATCGAGGTTATTTTTTCGTATTTTTGCTTTGAGTTCGCGATTCGCTCCGCTTTAAAAATGAGGGCGAAAGAGTTGACCAAAGAAAATTTTAGGCTTAAATGTCAAAAATACGCAAGAAACGCCGCAAAGAAAAAGTCATCGTGTAAATGCACGAGGATTTTCGAAGACTTTTTTAAAAGGGAACGTGCCAAAAACGCAGGGTGAAAAGTCGTCGTTTAACCTAGCTCTAAGTCTAGTACTTTCAAAGAGACACAACGTTATACATATGCATGTATTTATGTATTTCTAAAAGTGAAGTACAAATAGTTCTTGAGAGTTGCAAACTGATTTATGAAATTTTAATATTTTTTATGAGTTTTTGTTTTTCATGGTTACTATGCTAAAAGCTGTTTTGCGAGAACAAAAAATTTTTCCAACTAGTCGATTTTATTTTCAATTCAGAAGTCCAGAGTAAGTAGAGAAAAGTTTCCGATATTTTAGATAAACTCTTTACGGAAATGGTAAATTTTCTAATCGTTTATGAAAAGCTTTTCTTCATAGTAGTGGTTTTAAAACGTCACGTAAGAGGTCGTCAACCTCAAATAAAAGATAAATTTTTAGTATCTAATCGGAATTCATTAATGGCCCCGTGATCTTTATATTCAAAGTCACTGATAACACAATTTAAATCTAGTTGTTATTGAGTTTCATCAGTAATTGATATAATAATACATTCAGATTTACGTTTTTTCTTAGCGCTAATTTAGTGTGACCACATTAACCATATAGCAACCATATATGTGCTTTGTTTGATTCTTAAAAAATCGAGATATTTTCCCCGTCTTTTCTTTACTGGCCCCTTCAAGGAAGAGAGCCAATCTCAGAGCCATAAAATCGGCTTGCATCCATCGCTTTAATATGTGCGGAGTTTTTATAGGCTACTTCCTACAACTAGCCTTCAGCATTCTGTTAAAATTCCATTTAAAATTATTATCTTATTCTAAACGAGGTATATATATTTTCGAAACCTTTCTTTGTGTGTTTGAAAGTCGTTTATGTTCCATTCCAAGTATTCAATTGGAGTATCATTTAAAATTGAAGTCTTTCCAACTTGCTTTGTTCGTTAGTTTACATAGAGGTTCCACTCTCTTTGTATGTGTTCTCTTTGTTATCTATAATGAGTTGTATCAGAGTTGGTGGAACACTGAGTATTTCCATTTTCTTTGATGACGCCTTTTCCGTTTCTACAAACGTTTTGATAATTACCCGTTCGTGCATTTTTTCTTCTTTCGTTATATTTATATTTAGTGGCGTAATCCCTAGAATAATCTCAGATTTTTGTAACTCATATATTTCGAATACCAAACACTCCTTTTCGCTGATTTTTATGTACGGAAGATTTTCAACCAGTAAGCGTTTTTCTGTCGTTAATCACGTAATTGAAAACATTTGGAATATCCGCTGTGGGTAAGAACCAGCAGAAAGTGATAATTTACTAAGGTAAAAAAAAATAATAATCAAGGTATTATCCTCTTGAACATTTTCTCACCCCAGATGTATTTGGTCCGATATTTCTGCCAAACTGGTGAAGAAACGTAACCCCGTATGTTTGAGTTTGAGCAGGTCTGGAGATCAACACAGATCAATTCAATCCTTTTCCAGATTGTCGCGACAGCTTCTTCAGGGGAATCCTTTGCTATTCACAGGTCTTGCCGTGTGATAGTAAGAGCTCTTGCTGCAGATCTCTTGAGTTTCAGATTTAACCGCGACCATAACGGCCGTCCTCTTTTTATTTCATCCTCTCTGAAACTCGTTTGTTTCCCGTTTTCCCGAAAGAAAATTAGTAGCGGTTGACAGGTCTTCCCTTCCTTTGTCTGACCAGATCAAGTTAGAATCGTTCGGGTGACTTTAGTTTACATGCCAAAGACCCTTTTTCAGGTGTAGTAAACGCTTCTTCACTTTCGTTTTCCAATTCACCATAGAATCTAGAAAGACACTTAGCTATTTTAGCGCGGAGTAAAGAAATTTTATTTTTTTGACAAACCGAATTATCTCTCCCGACGAGATGCGAATGGAATTTCCCAGCCTTAAAAAAAAAAGTTAAAATTATGTTCGGAGGTGATATCAAAGAACGTATATAACAAGAAGGGACAATTCGCTATAATTGTGGCGAAAGTGCGCAACAGGGGCGTACCTTCTCTTTTCATCCAATCAAAAAACGCACTAGGGCACAAGAGAAGGCACGCCCCTGCTGCGCAATTTCGCTACAATTATAACGAGTTGTCCCTTCTTGTTATCTACGTACTTTGATGATATTAGACTATGAAAGTCTCAAAACGCTCCGGGCAATGTGCGGATTTGTGCTTTTGCTGTGAATATACATACATAGATTTTATAACTTTAAGCGAGCAATTCTTGTATATATTTATGTATATTATATATCCATAGGTTTCTAGGAAACGGCTCTAACGATGTGTTGAAATTTTTCAGATAATGTTTTGCATTTTGAGGTTATATACATAGATAGGTGTTATCTCCGAAAATATTCGTATTCGAAATTAGTTCAAACTAACTAACACTATAATATGCATATCAAATGGAAAGTTTTTTTAAAATCCCCAATTTAGAAATATTTTTGAATAGGGTTGCCACCTATTTTCTATCGTATATTTATTTAGTTTTTTGAGATTTAAGATACAGTTATGAACAAAAACTAAGCAATTGCTTTTTCTTATTATTTCAGACCTCTAAAACTGCGTTTCACCTAAGTGGAAATTAACTTTAATTTAATACAAGTAAACAGCTGATATACAAAATTGTGTTGTGTGTATATTGATCAGCTGATTAAACGTGTAACATCCCTGAATGTGGTTATGCTGATTTAATTTTTATTTAAGTAAAGAGCATTGGTCACTTAAATCAAAATTAAAGACAAATTTAAAATGATTGCTGAAACCCAAAATTCAAAAATTAAAATATTTTTTACTTAAATGCATCTGGTGAAGCGCAACCTTACTCGATTTATTCAAAGAAGTTTAAGCAAAAGGTGTGAAATTTTAAGAAAAAAGCAATTGCTTAGCTTTTATTCATAAGGCCAATTATTACGTTTTACGGTTGCTGAAAAAAGCCTAAACAATGCTTTGCCACTTATTTTCAATTCTACAAAATTTGACTAAAATAGCTTAACATAAATATCAAATGAAAGGTATTTTTGGAAATTTGAATAAATAAATATTTTCGCTGAGGGTTGCCAGGTTTTTGTAAACCAATTTTAATCTTACTAATTTCAGCGTGCATTTTCCGTAATTTGCACTCAAAATATGTACTCTTGAAGAAGGGGGTATTTTTTAATAGGGTTGCCACCTAATTTTTAATATCAAATATTTTTATAAACTGTTAGGTTCAAAAAGTCAAAATTATGTAGCTTTTTTAACAGTCTTTTTGTAGAATTCCGGGGTAATGACTCGGCAAAAATATATTTATTAATTTTTTAGCATATTTTTTCAAATCTTTTTTTTAATGTTGTTTCAGTGAACACTGGAACTTCTTGGGCTAAAATACTAACGTATTGATAATATTTTTTTTTCGACATACATGATTTGTATGGAAAGAGGTACTAGATTTGCGTTATGTTAAATATGAAATTCCATTTACAATATTATGTTAAACACTTTTTAAATTACAGCGTGGCGACGAATAACTGTTACCCAGGTTTTTTTGAGAAATAGAAGAGTCCTTTATAGATTTTGCGAAAAAAGTATGTTATTGATAATTTTCCACAGATTTTACTTTAGTTGTATTAATTAGTTTTTAAATTTTAATCCTTATTTACATTTGCCAGCAGTGTAAACTTTGAGAGAAAAGTTCATTTGNTAGTTTTTTTATACAAAGCCTAAGAAAAAATACATCTGAAAAAGACTTGCGTGCCAAATGAACTTTTCTCTCAAAGTTTACACTGCTGGCAAATGTAGATAAGGATTAAAATTTAAAAGCTAACTAATACAACTAAAGTAAAATCTGTGGAAAATTAACAATAAAATACTTTCTTCGCAAAATTTATAAAGGACCCTTTTATTTCTCAAAAAAAACTGGGTAACAGTTATTCGTCGCCACGCTGTAAAGCTATCCAATTGACCATTTTTGATACCCAAATCTTGAAAACTTTAAAAATTGTAAGGCAGGTTCGGTCAACCTGGTACTCAGACCATATCCCTTGAGTGGTGAATTCACGAAGCTTAATGTAAATTAAATACAATATTTGAATTTTGTTCCCTATGTATTTCTTTCTCACGTACTTTTCTTACGAAATCTGCAGTTTCTTTGTTTCTCGGACCATTTCTACGTCTCGAGACCCAGCAGACATTCAAAATTCTTTAAAGAATTCCCGTTGCCAATTCACGGTATTTCAGGAAGGCATTTTAAAAAGAGACCAGTCTTTAACTTCTATTGGTCTATTTATGTAGTTTTATGAGTACAAAAAGGAACCCGAACTATGGAAACTCCATCTTGTCTAACTCTTTTCTTATAGGCCTGCTTGTTCATAACCGGCATAGACCTCAAAGCTTCGTACCCAGCCGAAAAATTTTATTTTGGATATTTCAGTCGATAAGAAAGTTCATTCAATACTTTTCATTCATCAGATTATTTTAATATAACTTTTTACCGCTTTTATTAACTAATCTTCTTCATATCTTCATTTGCAGCGTCGATGAATTGTATCGCTTCATAAACACCTGGGTGCAACATCTCTATGGTGAATTGAATGAAGAACAAATCAAGGCGCGTGGTTTTGAGCTCATCCAAGATGATACCGAATGGACGAAGAGCGGCACCACAAAGAGTGGCCGCAGTGGCAGTCAAGAAAATGAGGAAATTAGTGATTTGACACGCGAGTCGTGGGAGGTGAGTACGCAAGTTTTGAGTCAGCAAATAATTCACTTTTTCGTGAGCGCCGCCATCTGCAAAAGCTCTACCCTCTTTAAACTTATTTCGTATCTATTTAATACTTTTTCACTTTTACTACTATAATTTAATGCTATTACTACTACTAATATTCGACAATATTATCACTACTACTATTACTATTAAATATTGTAAAATTATTATCGTATACGTATGCATATTATACGTAAGTTTACTTCAAATTTTAAGCCGCAAAATTTGTTTTTCAATCTATGCAACTTCTTTACTAATTAAAATTTTAGGTTTCGCAAAATATGATATTAAAAAAAAAGATATTTATGTATTGTATGTATTTAGCAAACTCTTAATCGAAATTAAATTTGTTAGTACAAAAATTTTCCATTAATCTTCTTGCATATAATTTTAAACGAAATTTTCTTCATTTGAAATTCTTTTTTCTGTTTTTTTATTCCGCAAAATGTTAAAATTGTTGACTGCTCCAAATCATACAATAAACCAAAATGAATGAAAAATTATCGAAAAAACGTAAAATTTATATACGAACAAATCAGCTTATAAAAGCGCCCTTCGCCAAGACCTACAGCATTATAAAAACGGCAAAACATGCCGCATCGCATGAAATGGATTTGTTGAGCGGCGAGGTTAGGAACGATATTTTTATGTATTGTTTAAAAAAAAATTCAAGACACTTAAAAAATGAAATGCAGTATAGCAATTAAAAAACAAACACACCAATAATGTGTTCAAAACTTTGTATTAGCTCGCAAAATTACTACATATGTATATTTCCTATAAATTTACTTTATTTTTTTAGCTGTAGTTGTTGCATTACTGCAGGCGTTTTGGGGTTAGAGTGAAATGGATTTGGATAGAAATAATTTAATTGCAGAAAATATACTATTAAAACTAAAATTTTGAATTATATGTACATTTTAATTTTTTTTATTAAAACGTTTTTTTTTTTTTAATTATAAAACCACTCAAACATTAGAATTCAATTTATTGGCCTTAAATTTTTAGTAGAGAACTGACCAATTTTATTTCTGAAATAAGTTAACAACCAGTTTGGTCTGTGTTTGTTTTTCTGGGTGGGAGGGTCAATTTGATTTTTGTTTAGAAAAATAAAATAATAATAATTTTAGTTGCCAAGCAAAAATATAATGCGAAAAAAATAATAAAAAAAAATTAAAAACTTAATATTGAAATAAAACTGATAATCGGTTCCTTGCTTTTTTGAGTATTAATTATTATATTTGAAGTTTCATTAAGTCGTATCCTGTATAAGCCACCCTGTATTACAAATTGTACATATAGTGCAATTTATAAAAAAAAAATTATATTTTTCTTTAAACAGGAATCGCACTTTTCTAAAATAAATTTACTTACAAAACTTTGAACCGTGTAGCAAAATACAAATTGAAAGTGCCTTAAAATACACATACAAGCAGACCCTTGCGAAAAAACTCAAAACTATGCGTTAGAAAAAAAAATGCAATTAAATTTTTTTTTTTAGAAAAATGTGAAAGAAAATTTTCTAAATTAAATATTTTTGTAAAGGTTTTCAAGCATTAAAGACAAAACTGGCGAAGTTTTCACATACTCATAAAATAAATAAATAAATAAATTATGATTTTTAAAATCATACATTTTTTAGATAATTTAAATTTTCTTTTGATAAAATTAAAAAAGGTGCAAAAGTAAATGAAATTTGTATCCAATTCACTCTTCCTAGCAACGCTTGGTTGTCGTAATGTGTTTTTTTTTCGTTCCACACTTTAGTTTCAATTACTGGCGAGTTGAATTTCTATGAGCACACACCCTGTAAAAAGAACACCTCTAATTGATTGTTTATTAGTGAAGCACCCTTTTGCCTTTGAACAGCAGACACGTAATAGTTAAACAATACTTTTATATGTGCCTAACAAAAAAAACAAAAAAAGTCGTATGTAAATTTTCAGGCTTTGTAGGCTTTTATTTACTTGAAAAATACTTTATTAGTTTTATATTTATTTATATTTTATTATCATATTTTGTTTGAATTTTTATAATTTTCATTATTATTATTATTGTTTTCTGTGGCGCGTGTTCAACATTTAAAAATCATTGATCCATTTGCATATATTTTTCGCGTATAAAAAAATTCATTATCATCTGGTGGTAATACTTAGACCATTCACACCAAAAAAATGTATATTAATAGAAATTAATTGATAAGAGGACAAAGGCATGTGTAATTTTTTATGTAATTTATAAAAACAAAACAATATGCGAAGTTGATGATGACGTCAGAAGTGGGCCAATATTATCAAAAGTCGATGAAATGCTTTGTATAAAAGTCGATCCTCTCAGCATGTGGAGACAATTATTCTACAAAGTCGCCCACAATTAATAAACAAAAAAATCATTTTAATCTATTGATCATGCGCAACGCGTTCACAGTGATATTAATCTGATGAAATATACATACCTAATTGCTATACATTTTATTTTATGCACACATGTTGATCACAAAATTTTATGCAACCAATTTCACTGCGAGCTGAGCACTTCCAACATGACCTTCTGCTATTAAATAGATGACCTTTTTTGCAATAACAAACGCAGTTCAACAGTCAACAATTTGAATAATAAATGCAGTTTTTTCATACTCATTTAAGTTGATAAACACTAAATCTTCATGATGACAAGTTAAGTTGGTTTTGTGGAGGTAAAGGGTGATCCAAATACAGTCTATTTATTTACACTACCCTAAATCAGTGTAGGCCAGAAGAACTTTAACTCTGTGCATTCCTATAAATAAATGTTTAAAGCTTAAAAAAGATCGACACGCAAGCAAGGGGTGCTCTTCATTAAAGTTTATTTGATTTTATAAGAGACGATGGTACATAAATTCTTCAAATCCTATTCCATAGAATCAGCTCTCTCCCCGTCTGCACTCTTCACGGCGACCTGCACAACTGTCACCAGAAAAGTATATTCTGCAGGAGAAGCTTCTAAAAGGCTTTCCATAGATTTTAGGGCAGCTACGATCAGAGGTAGCTTTTACTATGTGTCGGTATAAAATTTATAGAAAGGTTTTAAAAGATGCTCCCGCAGGTGCTGGTCATGACTGTGCTACATAAAGCACTTATCATAGCAGATGAGCACTCGTGATGATCAAGGACAGTTTTCACTACAGAAAAAAGCTTCTTCGTCGAGATATGTTTCGATCGTATTGACGTAAATCAACTCATGTAACTCAGAGCTGACCAGAAAAAGCTGTTTTCCTATGCGCTATCTTATAAAATCTATAAAAAGCTTCTCCTGCGGGTTATATCTTGGTCGTAACTGATGTAGGTAGATGTAGAAGACATGTCACTGACAACTCGATAATCCTAAAAGTTAAATGACAACAGCGGTAAAACTGGTGAGAAATTTTTAACTGTTTTTAGGAGAAAAATTCTGAAAAAAGGGATATTTAATGCATTTTTTGCGAACTCCTATGGCAGCACCCTTCTCCTACTCACCTTTGCGCATACAAACATATATATAACCGTTCATATTTATAACACAAAAAAAGAAACTATGTATGTAGTTGCAACAATTATGCCGCGAATACATACACCGCAATTAAAAACTACAAATTATCTTGTCACAGTTAAGCATCGTACACTATATATAATTTGTATGGTATTTTATTATACTTACAAATGTATACCTTAGGGTGGTCCTTAAAATATTAACATCTAAATTGTATGTGGCTTACAAAATAAAGACATACACAAAAATTTTAAACACATTTTCAGGGATCGCTAACAGAGTTTGAAAAAATTTAATTTTTTTAAATCGCTAAATTTCGATGAAATTTCGACTTGAAATCTGTTAAATTTAACATATTATTGAAACTGCCAAAGCCAAGATTTTATATATATTTTTTTTGTATTTAAAAGTATATATATTTTTTTCAAACTCTGGTACCGACCCCTAAAATATTTTTTTTTAATTTTGAAATTTTCGTGGATGTTTTTATCTTGTACGTGAACAAAAAAAAAGTGCTCCATGATGTTGATATTTTAAGGACCACCTTAATATGTATCTAGAAAATATTCTGCCATTTATGAATTTGTGTTATTGCGATATCAAAATCAATTGTTTCAATTAAAATAATTTACATACATATGTTTACTTAACGCATACGACGCTCAGTTCTTACGAGCTTAGCCAAGGGTAAGGTTGCTTGTTGCTTACCTTTCAACACACTCCATGAAAAATACTTACTTTTATCGATTAAGCAATTATTAACAGGCAGCGTTGCTCCACTGTCCAGTTAATACTTGTTGCATCACAACTTCGGAGCAGTTCTGACCCGATTTATGCAGGTGGCTATATGAAAAAGCGAGCAACTGCTGCAACGTTAAAGAATACAAAGTTGTACTGTGTTTGGTTTTTATGTTTTTACTTTATTCAATAGCGAGACATAATAAACAAGACATCTCAATTAATGGAAATGAATAACTAGTTATGTTTATATGCTTGTTAGTGAGTTAAGTGGTGAGAATGTTGATTTCTAGGCAAGGCAATGCAATATATGTATATGAAAAAACGGAAGATTTATAGTTATTGGTATTGTAAACTTGGTCAGTTCGTTATTTCCGCCAATCAATAGCTAATTAATGGAGCTTAAGAGTGCTGTCTGCAATTTGAGGGCCTTACAGTTTAAAATTTTGAAGAGTAATACTTTTATTATTGAGAACTATCATTAATCACTAGCACGTAGAGGAACGCGAGAAGAGCAAAGCTCTAAATTTATTAATAAAAAGCTTACATAGAGCATACATTCATCCACTGAACTAGATCCGCTAATCTCGCATACTTGCTTTAAAAAAACGCTCATATAAATACAACTTATTTTGAAGACATTTTAAACTGAATGGAAAAATAGCAGCTAACAAGTTGACTTCAAAACATATGTTTATACTCATGAATGTATTATGATGCGGTCAGCCGTAGCAAAGAAATTACATTTTGGATTCATTGATTTGGTAAATTTCAAAGTTTTCGCTCAGAAACCGAAAATTATTTGAGAGTACTCATTTCAACTTCTCGGCAGTTATTTGTGAAAAGTATTTTTCTTGCTCGACGCAAATTTACCGAAAAAAATTACTTTCGAGCATTACACGTAGCAAATTTTTCTTCCACTGCTAAACTGGCAAATAATTTTAGTGCTAATTTATATCTGGCCAAAGACTTTCACTCCAGCAACACTTCCCAAAATCTCTTTGGGGATTTATATGCTGTTACAACAACAACAACAGTGCAGATTAAAACAAATAGCTATATTTTCTGTCATAAAGAAGTTGCCTCTCAACTTACCGGCATACTCCCGTTCGTTTCATGCAAGTAGTTTTCTTTCACAGTATAAACAACCATAAAATAAATTCAGAAATTATCCTGCAGTTCACTTTCGAAAAATTACTTCACATTCATAGTGAGATTTCTTTTGGATTTGGCTTTCAAACTACGTCAGTTTCAGAGTCTTGGTGAACGATTTTTCTTAGCGACATCTGATAGTAGCTTCAGATCACATTTATCTACCACTTCATAACTCTGATAGATTTTAAGTGAATGCGCACATATAGTAAAGACGCGCTCTGGCCATCAC